TCAACTCCTCCTCCAAACTGCCTCCACCTTGAAAACCTTCAACTTGAAGATAACTTTGGCGATTTGCACACAGTGGCCAGAGTGAGCTAGGTTTCCTGTTGGCGTGTCTTGCCTGGAACTCGTGAGAAGCTGCTTCTGGGACGTGGCGGCGTCTGTGGAGTAAAGCGTCTTTCCAATCCTCTGGAGACGACTGGGAGAAGTTGATATCCGCGTGTGGAGAAGGGGCGAGAAGCCCCAGCGTCCAGACTCGGAGCATGGAGCCCCTGACAGTGGGTAACAAGCATGAGCGCCAGGAGAAACCTGGCGGGCTTATCAAAGTGCTTTGGAAAAGAAAAGAGTTGCTTAAACTTTCTCCCTTCTGTTCACTCCACGGGGCCAGCAGCTGGGTATTTCTCAGGGAGATAAAAGTTCCTACTCGCTCATTTTGAGTGATTTACCTGTCCCACTTTGGCCTCTCCCCTCTGTAACTCCTAGGTTGCTGAGAATGTCATCTCTGTTCCCTTCTCACGTCTGCTGGTAACCCTGCCTTTGCGAGGAGTTACCACCACATGCCACACTTGGAGTTGCTAGCTAAACTTCCTCCAAACCCCACAGCTTCCTCTGGGAACCTCAGAACAGTGGCTAGAAGTGACTTCGCACCCAGCCCTGCTTTGATCACTCATAGTCCTGGGGATGCTCTCTCCCTCTCCCCCTCCTCCCAGCTGAATTCTGAGTCTCTAGAGTCTCATAGCCAAAGAAGTGAAAAGGAAGGTCAAGAGCCATTAACAACCCCTTAAGCATGAAATGCCTCTCAGAAGAAAGTCTTACTAGATGCTGTTCTGTCATCATCCCATTAGGGTCACGGCAAAAGAAAACAGCTTCTACCCTGAGGAAAGGGGGAGACTTTCAGAATCACTCTGATGGGGTTTTATTTGCAGCTCTTTATTTCTCTGGCCAAGCTGAGTGGTGTTGGGTAAAATATTTAACCTTTCTGATTTCGGTTTTCCATCAGATTTAAAATAGGGTTATACAAACATGCTTGATGCTTGTGGAACTCTTTCTTGTCCTACTCTCTTTTCTCCTAACTTCACCCAAAGCCATCTTTCTGTAAGAGAAGTAACTACAAAAGGAATCACCATCCTAAATCCATAGAGACCTCCTTCAAGTACCTAACACCATCCTCTGGGACAATGGTGTACCCACAGGAAAAAAAAAAAACAACTCAGAAAACTGTCCATGGCCATGCATACTTAGTTATATGAAGGTTAACAATATGTCTTGTCTTTCTTTTCAATCAAATAAAACCACACATCATGAAATTTCTAAAAAACCACACATCACGAAACTTTTCAAAAGACTGGCAAAGATGGGGGGTTGGTGTGCAGAAGAGACAGCTTTTATGAATCTGTCTGGTCAGTTAGTTTCAGGCCACAACAGTTCTCTCCCAGGTGTAATCTGTCAAGCACACACTGACCATATTTCAACTCTGCTCCAAGGCCTCCTCAGAGCACAAAGCTTACAAACTCTGCAAGTTCTCTGAAACTGACAAGATTGTAGAAAAGTTTTTATTCCAGTAAGATGAAGAGTGAGGAAGTACAGCTCCACAGAGCTGCTTTACCCTGAACTGGGTGCTAGGCCTTAGAGGCAGAGTTATCTGCCTGCAGCATCTCTGGAGATGGCTGGAGGTCTTCTCTAGCTCAGGTCATGTCCACGGTTGAATTCAAGCTAGCTCTAGACATTATGTTTGTGTGAAGGAGCCAAGTGAAAGAAATAAACATCACCAAGCCACTCTGTTCTTCCCTTTTTAAAAGAAATTTCTCCCCCCCCCCCTGCAATCCTAGTTTAAGCCTGGTCACAACTGTGAATCTAGACTAGTTCTGTCTTGGAGATGTCCTGGGTCAAGGAAGAGAAGAGTCATTCAGCTTCTGGCAATGAGCTGGCAAAGAATGAGGCTACCGATTGAATTGTCTGGAATTTCTACATCGCCCTGTAAGTGAAGCCAGCCAGAGATTTAGGGGACATAATGGGCTATCTCACTTGCCACTGAATGAGATCTTCATTCAGAAAGCTAGCTAGAGGTTATAACATCAGACACCAAGACAGTTAAGAAGACCAGAGGGCCAACCTTACAACACAGTCGTCTCAATGCAGAGTTTGTATTGTATTTTATACATTACGAACTGTGCACGCAGAATTTCCATAGACAGTGTACAAGGCAACAAAATGTGCATGGTGTGTTCTTCAGTATGCCTAATTTGAAGTATTAATGTCAATTTAAAGTAATACTGGGCTCATTGCATGGGATTACTGAACCCTTGTTTTATGACACATTTCTATCATATAGGCAAGGAGTTTATAATTAAAATTTTTAAAAGCATCGCATCTCATTAAGCGTCATCACCCCACTGGGGGATGAAAAGAAAAAGCCTAGTTCAGAAACCAAGACTCCAACAGTATCTTAGGAAGCTAATGTAAAGTTAAGGTAAAGAAGATATTTGGTCAGCCCCTCTTCCAACATATTAAGGGATGATCTCAAAAGAGGAATAACTTTTTCTTAATTCTACTTTGAATGAGCACTGATCCTACACTGTCATGTCTACTGAGGACAATGCCATGGCTAGTCAGAACCCTTGAAGATAGGTTTTAAATAAAAATGGGCACGTTTCAGGACATGATGCAGCTGGCCTGTGGGGGGTTGGACTCCTGACTGATTCTCTCTCTCTCACACACACACACAGACACACGCAGGACTCAATGCTGGGAATAGTGCAAGATCACTTGCTATATGCCTTCTGGAAGCTACAGCAGGGACCTCAGGCACCACCTGTGGGGTCTTCTAAGGTGGTCCATCCTAGGTGGTGTCAGAAAGCCTCACATCCCTAAGTAACTCTCATTCATAGATGGCTTTGGCCAATTTATAGTCTAACTTTCAGTCTGATGACTCCCCTTTGCCTCTTGTTCCTCACCCTTTGGATTGTTCTATCCCTGGAATGATATTGAATACTGCATGAAGGCTGGGCAGTGAAGAGATGGCCACCACCTCCAAGTCACTGACATGTTGCAAATAGGGACCTCTCACAACCACCTGTGGAGTTGTAATGGGGGGGGGCAGTGAATGTGTATACGCAGGAAAAGGGAGGGTGGCTGTGAACAAAATCAGGAGAGGTCTCTTAACAAAACGTTTCATTTCATTTCCGCGCCCCTCCCCCAGTCCTTGATGAGTTCGGGGTGCTGGAGGTCCAGTCTTAGGGTGGCAGTTGCCAGAGGTTCTTCCAGAACAAAAGAGATACTCTACTGGGGCCCTTAAACCACCTGGCTGGTCCCCTACCAGTGCCTGGGGTGAGATTGACTCTGTTCCAAAGTAGCTTGAGCAAGGAGAATGTGGGCGCGGCCAAAGGGGTACAGCTCTGTGGTGGTTTCAGAGAAAAGTGCAAAGCTTCTCCGCCCCTAATTTTACTCTGCTTAATTCATGCCTCTATATCCAAAACCAATCCAGACCCTCCAAAACGCAGAATACCTTTCTGCGCCTAGATTCAGAAATGCGGTTTCGCGCCCTCCGTCGCAGCTCCAGGGCTGGAGGACACCTCGGGGCCGCGTGTGTGGTCTCCAGACTCGGTTCCCCTCTTTATCCACAGATCCCAGCTGGTGCCACGCGCAGTCCAAGTTGTGGCCAGAGCGGGGCGCGCAGGGCGAGGGGCTCAGAGTCTCCCAGCGCGCTCGGCCCTGCGCGCACCGCCCGCGGCCCCAGCCGGAGCGAACTCTCGCAGAGAACTCCGCGGAGCCCTGGGCGCGGAGCTGGCCAAACGCGGGGGCCAGCTGTGATTTCACCAGGAGGAAAAAGTTATAAATGCTTTTGTGTTTCTCTTCCAGCTCCTTTCTTATGCTCATGTTTTTCTTTTATCTCCAGAGAAATTCTCTGTTGCATTCTGCTCGCCTTTCTGGAGTTTTCTTTCTTTCTTTTTTTAAGTACAGACAGAACGTTTTTCTGGGAACTATTTCCTCAATTGATACGCTTTAGGGTGTGGTTGGCCCATAAAAAATGCAATCACTGCATCCAGTGGCGTCAACTGGCTACTAAGAAGGCGGAGAGAGAAAGCCCAAGCCTGGGATTTTTTTCCTTGTTCCTACAGAACTCTGAGTTTGTAAATGGCCTCTGGAAACTGAGGGGTGGGCGTGGGAGGTGGGTTGGGATGGGCGGCTTAGCTAAGAAAGCGCTACAAAAAGCAAGAGATCCTCAAAACTGAGGGGAGGGGAAGGAATAAAGACAGCAAACGGTTGGGAGCCATTCCTCCTTAGCATTTCCATTTAATTGGATTGTATCTATCTTTGCTGTGAAATCAATGTGTGACTTAATACTTTGTTGGTTTTGATACTTATTTAAAATTGAAAAAAGTTTTATTTCATTATTTCTGTTAATGAAAGCAAGATGTGCTCATTATTATGCAAACCAAACTTTGGTTCTGGAGTTCCAGTCCTTAAAGAACCTCGGTCTTGGCGCTGTGTCTTGGCGGTATGTCTGAGAAAGAAACTGCAACTAACCCATGACTACATCTCCCAACAAATGTAAAAGGAGCGTCACAATGAATGAGACCCAGTTCTGATATGGGGCAGAACCTGAAACTTTGCAAAACCTGAAAGCTCTCTGTTAAAGTTTAATCAAAGGATTGCTCAATATGATTAACTTCAAGCCTGTAATTTTAGCTTATTTAGATTTTCAGAAAAATAGTAAGAATAAATCGCTATGCTACACATGTTTTTCCAGACTGCTTTAGGCTGTTGAAATGATATCCAAAAGCACTGGCTATAATATACAGTATTCATAGGTTGAAATATCTTTTCTTGCATTTTTCTTGAACTGCAAGAAAACTGTGTAATATATAAACATGGGTTTTTCATGTACTTTTAATAAGCACAACAGGAAAAGTCATGATTTATAATACAAATTCCATCGGTAAGATTAAATGACATATCTTAATCTCGTCACAGACCATCAGATGATAAATATAGCAGATCCTACTTACCAAGAGGTGTAAGGCCTTGCTTTAGAGAGTCTTGTAAATCCCTGGTATCTGAATCAGAAGACATTCTTAGTGAAATTATAGGCGGTCCTTTGGCTTATGGAAGAAATCATTGAGTCTAACAACAAAAAAAAAAAGCGCTGTTTGCCAAATGTTGTGGCCTTTAAAAGGACACTTCAGCCTACAGTGACCTTTACTGAAAGTTAAGAAGAAGAAAAAAATTCCAGAATTCAGAAAGTTACAAGCAAATCTTTGCCTAGACTCTACTTTTTCATGCATTAGTGACCTGCCATAAACCATGTATCCAGTTTCATGATGGTTTCTAATCAGAGGAATGGAAACTTTTGATAGGCTTGGATTGATCACATGAGTCTATGAAGGTTGATAAGAGGACCCAGTTATAAAGTGACAGCAAAAGAGATAAGAACTCTTGGCAGATAATGGCAAAGAAATGATTAACTCAGAAGTGGAGAGGTGCTAAGCAGCATGGAGAGTGGAAAGTTGTAAAACTTTGGGGTCAGAAGATCATGCTTCAGTGGGTAAAATTCCAAACCAGCTTAAATCCACTAACTACATTTAGGTTGTGACATGCCCCTTAATGCCATCACCTCTTAGCATAGAAGAGGACAGACAGATCTTTTGGCCTTTGTAAATATATTTTAGATGATAACATTGGCAGGCATTAATTCTTTGAGTGATGACTGTAAATGTGATTGACACTTTGAAATACTACAGGTATCATTTCAAAGCATAGGGCCATCTATTTATTGGTGTTTTGGTTAACCAACTTTTTTTTTTTTTTTATCCTGCCTAACCTTAATTTGTTTGTACATAGACCACTTAAAAGGACAACCCACCTCTTTATTCCAAGACAGCAGAACTTACATTTTGAGGTTAACAATGGCAGAATGGTACCATGTAATGTTTAAAGTTATTATATGTTACTTGGTCCCACAGAGATGGTTTAGATCACTGTTCAACATGGTGTATTAAACTGTATCTATGAAAAAAGTACCATGCAAATGACTAAGGGTTGTTTTAGATGCTTATTGAATATCTCTGTTGTTCTGCAAAGTAGTAAAGTTTGGATCCTTAGCACAATGTATGTCTTCTCACATTGTATGGTAATTCGTCGCTTTTCTTTGTGCTTTGATTTTGCTAAGTGATAAACTTGGTAAAAATTTCTTCTGGCCCTACTTATCTGCATAGCTTTTTTGCTACTAAGAGTTGTTTTCTGTTAATGGTAGGGCAAATCAGATTCTACTCATTATTTTTTTTCTCTCTACTCATTATTAAGCTTTTCTCTTAGAAATTTTAATGCTAAAGTTATATTTTTAATTGAATTTGCCTGATGTTAATTTGACTTTTATGGAGTATATTTTATCACAGTTTCAAATGTTATCCAAATTTTACAATCTGATTCTAAAACTATACATTTCTCCCCCTTCTTTTTACTGGTATTCTACTTGGATAACATTAAAATGTTTAGGTACAGCAGTTTTTCATTCAAAATTTCATTTTAAAATATTTTTTTGACTGCATAAAAAAACTCAAACAAACAAGCATCAAATAGAACAATGGCTTAAATGAGATTTGTATTTCTCTCCTATAAAAGTAGTCAGCAGTAGGTGATCCAAGAAAACTACAACCACTCTATAAAATTGTCTAAGGCTTAGCCTCTTGGCATATAATCATCCTCCATCTCTTGTCCTTGTGTTTTGAGATGGCTACTAGTGGCACCCATGACTTCCAGAAATCAGAATGGAGGAAGGGAACAAGTAGCACTCCTAGAAAGTACCAGAAAGATGCTTAGGTTACATTTCACTTGGCATGATTAGCACATGACCACATGTGGAGAGTCAGCAAAAGAGTGGAAGACCCTCACCAAGATGGGCTGACAAGCTGGCTCTCACAAAGAGCTTGAGCATGCCAGAGATTATGAGGATGGTACAGTTAAGACAAGGTTCAGAGCTATTGTTCATAGGGTCACTATGAGTCATAGGGGACTCCAAGCACACATCAACAACAACAACAACAATCACTCTTAGTTGCAAGGGAAGATGGGAAGTCACATTTTCATGTAGTCAGACTATGTATTCATATGAAAACTTGTTTGGTGATTATAAACATCTTTGTTCTTTGCTTTCATTTCTCTGAATAGTACAACAATAACCTGGCACAATACTAAAAGCATATCATGTACGTGTAAGAGGATATAGTATGTCTGAAAAACAGCTTCTCTCTTAAAAAAATTATTTAGGATCCCCTTGAATTTCTGCTGATATCTAAAATACATTTACTGTATTAAAAATTAAAAGGGGAAAAAAGAAACATTTTTAATTGATTTAAAACTAGCAGTAACAAATGCATTTCACATTTAAATAATTAATATTTCATTTAAAAGAATTGTCTTTTCTAAAATGAAATAGTAAGAGAAGTGATATCTTCACAATTCTTTTTAATGTCTTGCTTAATGAAAGACAGCTGGATTTTTGTATCTGTTTCTGCATTCAGTCTGCAGTGATGTATTGTTTTGTTTGAAGTATATAAGAAACTATAACCTCACAGATATGAAGTTGGAAAAGGGAGGAATAGTCTTTTTCAGATAACTATGAAATTTTTTCCTCCTTTGACACTTTGCCAAATTTTACAAGTGGTAGCTTCTTAAAAGATTAGCTGGAAAAAAAAAAAGATTAGCTGAAAATGGAGACTCTAAAATCACATCAGGGAACTTCTTGAACTCTTACATTAAAAACCATCGGCCAGTTTCATGCTTTGAGGGTAATCATTTATGTATGGCTGAGCCACTTGTGCATAATTTTGTATCAACAGGCACTGGTCAGTTAGAAAATATCTGTTCCCCTGGTTATGTGCATCTTCCAAACACATTTCTTCTCACAACATTAAAAATTATATGCAACATTATCACTACTGATCTTGTGAGAAGACTTTAAATATTGAGACACTGTCAAACTTGTGGAGTAAGGACTGAGTTCTCAAAAATTTGGATTTTCATTTTAAATTTTGAAGTTTTCCTTTGCAAAAATGCCTTTTGTGTTTCCCTTAAAATAACAAGTTTCTTTCATTCACGTGTGAGAAATCCTACCAAATCTCTGTGTCTGAATAACCGCAGTTTGTTTGCCTGCCAGTCCTTTCAAAGGACAAAGATATTTCTCGACAAAAGCCATAAAGTCAGCTCACAGCACAGACTAGTTGCACCAGTGTTTTCCCAAGGGTTCAATTTCCGTGATTATGTTTAACCATGATGTGATGCTCAAAGAATTTTTTTTTTTTTTAAAAAATAAAACACACACAACAAACAGCAAAACTATGAGCAGTACAATTAAGGGAGAAACTGAATTCTCATGGCTTGGGTTATTTAATTAGAAGTGTGTTTTCCTTTGTGAAGTCGTTGTGCTGTTAGGCAGCAGTGTGTTCGTAATTCTTTTTTTTTTTTAACCACCCACTTGTTAGGGGCCATCAAGTTGAGTGTGATCCATGGTGACCCTATAAACAACAGATTTGAGCCCTGTCCTATCCTGTGCCATCCTCATACTTCCTGATACATGAGAGCCCATTGTGGCACTCACTGTCAATCCACCTGGTTGAGGAGCTTCCTCTCCTTCACCTACTCTCCACCTTTCCAAGCATGATGTCCCTGTCCAAGGAATAGCCTCTCCTAGCAACATGCCCTAAGTGCCTGATATGAAGCTTTATTATCTGGATGCACTTTCTCCAAGATAATTTTTTTTTTTTGCAGACCATGGGATGTTCTTACTCTTCTCCAACACCACAGCTCAATAGCATCAATTCTTCTTCTGTAATCTTTATTCCTCATCCAGCTCTCAGATGCATAGCAAATGATCAGAAAGACTGTGGCCTGAATCAAATGCACCTTAGTCCTCAAACTGACATCATTACTCTCTTATAATTTAGAGAAGTCCGAGTACAGACTTTCTGAGTGTAGTACATCTCCTGATCTTCTGATTGTTGGTACCAAGGGTGTTGATTGTGGATCCAAATAAGATGAAGTTGTTGACAATTTCAGTCTTTTCTTCATCAATCATGATGTTGCCTAGATATAGGTCTAGTGGTAAGAATTTTTCTTTTAAATGTTGAGATGCAATCTATACTGAAGGTTGCATTCCTTGATCTTCTGCAACAAGTGTTTCAAGTTCCCCTCATCCTCCTAATTTTGGCCACCACCCACTGGGTACACTGGGTACATGAGTTGATATTTTAAAGGAGTCTCTGGGTAAGAGATCCTCAGGAGGTAGTTTGTAATGTATCATGCTGCCAGCTGAAAGGATTATAGAAAGATGGTAGCCCCTCCTGTAAAGACAGATAGCCTTGGAAACTCAGTGGAGGGTCACTATGAGTTGAAGTTGACTGAACAGAAGTGGGTGTTAGGTAGAAATTGAGTGTTCAAGTACCAGTTGAAAATATTACCACTGACCAAGTCATGGCCACTCCATGGCACTTTGTAGGAGAGGTCTGGTGGGTCTGTTCCTGAAAGGTCACAGCCTTGGAAATCCTCTGCTGAACTCCTGCTGTGCTCATGTGGGGAGTAGGTGGAAACAGTTTACTGGCAACTAACAATAACAAAGCTGATGTTCTGTTCAGAGAATGTGGTTGGGTTTTGTTTTTTTTTTTTTTTATAATATGTTCCACAGTATACTTGTAATTTCTTAGGTGTATACAATTG